CTTATTCTGCCTAGAGGATGAATCCGCCAAAACATGGCAAAGATGGATTGCAAGGCGGTAGGCTGACTTTATTGCTTGGTGTCAGAGATTTCACCGGAGGTTAAAAGGTTGTGAAAACATGCAGCGCCTTGTTCCAAACTCTCAGCAGGTTGTCTTCCCACAAGCTTATGCATATTCAGGAGTCCTGCAGGTTTTTTGCCCAAGTGACTTGTCTATCTGTCAGCCACGAAGAGGCTTGTTGAGAATTACTGCCTGACATGACATAAAATTTAATTGTGTTCTGAGAACAAATGCCCTGTGCATACTGATCTATATGCAGTGGTTGTGCAGACTGTACTTGAGTCACCGGAAATGCCAACAGAATCAGAAGGACAATTATGAGCTTCTAAGGATAGTATTTTAACCATTCTGTAAATGTAAACAAAGCATTGTATCTCTGTTGCTGAATTCCCTGTGCATAGAATAAAAATAGAAAGAAAACAGCACAACAGCACAATTCTTATCAGAGAAGCCATGATTTTTCGCCACATGTTGCTGGTGCTGTTTAAAAAACGTAAGCAGGATAGAGAGAGAGAACGTCTAACACTTGGGAAATTGTTTCAACTTTTCCAAAAGAAATAATCAGGTATGAAAAGTTTTACCAGCTGATTTTTTGCACGCCAGGCTGCTTTGGTAGGAAGAGGAGCTAGCTGTGCTTTTTCCCTTTGCGGTCATGGTCGGTCCCATCTGCCACTCACATATCCCGTATGGCCTCCTGAGTTGGTGTCATTGCCAATCCTGAGGGCAGGAGGAGCGGGTGAAAATTACCCAGATGTGTGGCAATGACGCATTAATGTTTATGCTGCAGAAGACGCCTTGTCCCCTTCCAGCTCAGACCAGTCATCAAGTAAAGCTAGTTTCGGGCCAAGGTTTAGGTTGTTCCAACAGAGGCTTCTGGCAGCGATGCTTGCCTCTCTGAAAGTTGTGGGCCGCACTAAGAGTGTCAGGCCAACCGTGGAATAAGCATTTCCAGTATTCCCGTTATTGGACCTAGTACTATAAATTGTTCATTTACAGTGAGGCAGGTCTATGTGAATTGTTTTATTCCTCCAGGAGCTGGCAAGCAAATACTAGACAAAGTGACGGGGTGCTCCGACAGATTAAATTGACCGCAATGTACTGTATGTCAAGCCCAGCCATTTACGGGCACTGCTGTATTTGTAGGCAGACCATGTCCATTTCGGAACGTACAGTAGTAATTTTGCCGGTCGCCGGAAAAGAGCTACGATGCAAAATAATTTGAACCACACTTCAAGCAAGCCCATGTTTACTTTGCACTGAAGGGACTGTGTGTGATAACTGCAAAGGGTGTTTGCCCTTAATATGAGTTCGCAGCCTTCTTCGTACGCTGTAAATAAGACCGGGGTGTTAAAAACCATAACATGGGCAGGGAATACTGATTTTGTGAGGCTAATAAGCAAGGGTCCTATTCAGCAAGAGAGAGTTCTCTGCAGAGCTAACCTTGCCATGATGTGGAGTGAGGCAGAGAGCTTCCTAGAGTGGATGATGGGTGTTGTTGTTATGAGCTATGTGTCCCCATCCCAAATAAGACAGGCACTTCAGCAATTATTGGAAGAGTCTTTATTCCATTCAGGTCCACGTATTCACAAGCCTCGAATGCACACACCAGGTGGAATGTTGACCCCTTGCTCTGCCCCCTTCACCCAAAGCTTTGCTTATGAACCCTTCGGGGCTGGTCTCTGGCGCGGGCTGTGCTATGGAAGTTCTTCCCATTGAGCCCCTAATTGGTCTAACCAGCAGGTGCGCCGATAGGCCCTTTCATCTATGTCTCCACAGATGTCAAGTTCTCCTCCCAAGAACCCCGCCCCAGCCTGTTCTCCACCAGCTCCTTTCCCACAGTCAGGAGCTGGAGGGGGCTCAGTGGTTGTCCTTGAAGTGCTTTGATCCAGAGCTGGCTCAGGCTGGCTCAATGGGAGAGTTTGGGCAGCCGGGGCCTCGCTAGTCTCAATTCCAATATCAGAGTGAGAACTCTGAGCCACGGCTGGTTCAACTATCCACTCTCCCTCCTCCGAGTCAGAGCTGCCATTCCCACCAAAGCCCTCCATCTCGTCCAAGTGCATGTGCATGACAGTTATGGAAGGGGTACCAGTGGCAGTACCCCTGGCAATTTCCTCTCTCGGTGGACCTGCAGGGCTTGGTGCATCTTAACTGCCCACCTAAAAGGCAGCAGAGAAGGGGTGAATATAACCTCCTTTGGGATACTCATGCCCCAAGGATGCCGCATCAGGGAGCCATCACCAAAAAGGCAATGCTTCCCTTTTTCAGCAACTCTCTAGCTCTTTATTGTGAAATACTGCACAGAGCCTGCGTTCAAAAGGAGCAGAAAAGGTCAACTAAAGTGACCAAAGGGCTGGAGCCGCTTCTCTTTCAGAAAAGCGTAAAAGACACATGCAGTGTCTGAGACTGTTTAGCTTAGGAGAAAAGGCAGGTAAGGGGAAACATGTAGAGAAAATGGATGCCACAACATTTGTCTCTCCAAATATAACTGTCTGTCTATCTAATTTCTAACTTGCCCCATTAACCACACAGCTCCCTGGGCAGGTTGCGATCTAATGGCATTATTCCATGAAGCTGGTGGATGGAACAGATTGTTATTAATATTACCATTTTTATGTATTGTATTTCTGTGCCACCCAATAGCCAAAGAAAGAAAGAAAGTTAAACTACAGGATTCACCTCTACAAGATACAATGATGGGCACCAATTTGGGTACTGGAGAAGGTCAAGGTGGTGAAGGCTATATGCCACCTCCAGTGTCCAAGGCCGTACACCTGCACAAGTTTTTATTTATTTATATTGCAATTTATATCCTGCCTTTTTCCTACAAAGGGCTCAAGGCAGCTTACATCTCCTCCTCCATCTTATCCCCACAACAACAACCCTGTGAGGTAGGTTGGGCTGAGAGTCTGTGACTGGCCCAAAGTCATCCAGTTGGTTCCATGGCTGAGCGGGGACTAGAACCCAGATCGTCTGAGTCCCAGTCCCATGCTCTGATGGGAAACTTGGGCAGGAGGGTGCCATAACTACATGTTGGCTTCCTACAGGCACCAAGGTGGCCACTGTTTAATGGACCAGAGGAACCTTTGGCCTGATCTCTTCTTACAAAGCCTCTGAAGATGGCTACACCAGACAGGCTGGTTCCTGCTGGAGAAGTCAGTCCTGCAAGTGCACCTGTGTGTGTGTGAACCACGAACATTGCAAGTCCAGGACCCACAGAGCATCTGTATCTCCTCTGTTTCATTTGTCCTCCACCCCTCCCCCTTTCATTCTGAGCTCTGGATGCCAGTCAACAGAAAGAAGGGAAACCTGCTGCTTAGACAGCCAGTCCGTCTTTCTAAATTTGCCCTTACATGCATGAGCTTTACTACAATCCCCACAAGCAGTAATATGGTAGAAGTTGGCCATTGCCTACATTCATTTCCTCTGAGTTCCTTTTGCTTAAAAGCCAAGCAAATTGATGCCATATGTTTTTATGGCTGTGTTGGATGTTGTGAGGTCTTGTACCAGGCAAACATTTCAGGATTAACTTGACAACTGAGGCTGTGTTCAAATGAACACAAGTGAATATCAGTAGTGATGTAGTTGTGCCAGTGTAAATGCATATAGATGTATATAGGCAAAACTATACGTTTTTGAGAAATGCTTCCAAGGCAGCTGCAATTTGTAAGGTTCTTCTGCCCTAGCAATAGATACTACAATTGACCTCCTGTCATGTTGTTACTCATGAGAAGGCAAAACTCACTGGAGAAGACGAATCATGGTAGGGAAAGTCAAAGGCAGAAGAAGAAAGAAGGCCAAATGTGACATAGACTGGCTCCATACGGGAAGCCACAGCTTTGAACTTTCTGTCCCCAGGTTCTGCCAAGACGCTTCAGTTCATTGTTGCCACACATGGAGTCCTGCTGCAGCACCCACCCTTCCCAATGGCATCCTTCAGGCACACACCCATGATTAGAATGTGGCACTGTGTAATCTCCGTGTGGGTGGCACTTTTTGAGTACATCGATCTCCCATAACCTGACTTGCAAAAATAGTATGGATGCTAAGCTGCCATCCTGAAACCGTACTAAATGGCTCTCTTGAGGCACTCCGCAAGGATTACTTGGCTTGGATTTTGTGCAGCGAGCATGTTCGACTCAGAAAACGTGCGCCTGACAGGCTCCATTAAGCTGTTATGCTTCCTGATGTCATTAGCACGTTTAGGGCCCTATGAGATCCTTCTTCCTCTCATCACAAACATTGAAATATAATTGTATTTTTAATTCCATGTTAATGTATTCTTATTCTTTATAACTGTTTTATTTAAATTTCAATTGTGACTGTTGAACCCCATTTCCTTGACAGAAAGGCAGAGTATAGATCACATTTTCCTGTGAAAATATGGTGATCAGGGACCCCCCAAGTGTTGCATGACTCCCTTCATGTGCACCTTCCAATCTTTTCACTCTTTTTCTCAGCTTGCAGCTCTGTACAGCTGCTACCTCAGAATCCCTCCCCGCAAACACTAATCCTTGCTAATTACAAGATTACAAGATGATATCAGCAAATCAGAGGTCTCATTTTTGCCATGTCAGTGTCATGTCGTCCATCATAACAATGCCGTATTGCCAAACTCAGCCACATGATGCAAAGCCAATTCAGAGTGAGGTAGGAAGCTCACAGGACTCGTCGCACTGCATTCCTGCTACTGCTGTCCTTAAGGATTTGCAGCAAGCCCTGTGAAGAAGCTCTCCCCACACACTTCAGGAAGCACCAGACATGGCTACCGCTCCAGAGCTAAGCGGTTAAATAAATAAACTCAGCCATCGAGAAATAAGCCTTTCTTATGCTTTGTCAAAGGACCACAGGGAATCTCAGTCCACGCCACCTTGGTGCTAAGAACCTTTTGTTCTATGTGTCGGATAATGTGCGAATATTTGTTTTCTCCACGTGTACAACAGGGGGATTGTGCCCAGGCTCTAGCGATCCATGTACAGAGAAACCCTGTCCAGGGGATATGCAGTGCGTGGGCTATGAAATCAACCGAAGGCCGTTCATTTGCCAGTGCCCTCCTGGAAAGCTCGGAGAGTGCTCAGGTACAGTTCTTGCTCTGTCACTGAATCATTCGCTTCGGGTACTGCAAGTCCATCTGCTTCCCTTTTCTTGTAAACCCACTCGGCCCCAAGCCAAGGAGAATGAAAGTTTCAAGTTGACCTTTTCCTTTGCTCCTACTACATCTTGGAATGGTTTGGGATGACCTGATTGGGTCATCCTTATTGTAGGGACAAACCCTTTTGTAATCCATGCCTCCAGAATCCACGGACTTCTCATGCTTGGCCTGGTCCACAGGGGAATGGAATGCTGGACTAGATAGCCTTTGGTGGTTCCCAGCATAGCTCTTCTTATGTTCTTCCTTGACCTGGAGAGATGCCTTATGAGAGAAGTCACAAATAGCTTCTGTAGGATACCACCACTATTTTTTATTTTTTTAATAATTATTTGCATTTGTATACCACCCTAGTAGCCCAGAGGGCTCTCTGGGTGGTTTACAAACATTAAAACCTACCAATCCTAAACAAATAAATAAATTGGCTATACCACGACAGTATGAAATAACGTAGTTAAAATGAATTAAATAAATAAATATAGCATTAAAATTAACTTTAAAATACTGGTTAAATAAAAAGGCCTATAGGGGAATTTGCTGAAGAAACCGCAGTGTTCCTTCTCTTATTTAAGGCAGAAGTAAGCAAACTTCTTTGCTTTTACTTCAGACCTGGTTTCCAAAGCAAGAATTCCCTGAAGAAAAAAAAAAAAAGAATCACATGGGATCTGTTGGCAACATACAGGTATGTGAAGGGATGTCACATGGAGATGGATAGAGACCTGTTCTCCCCTGCAGAGGAAGGCAGGAGGCGCGCCAACAGAGCAAAGCTCAGGGAGCCAAGGTTCCATTTGGATGCCAGGAAGCACTTCCTGACAGTCAGGACCCCGAGGGTGTGGAATGGGCTTCCACGAGAGGTCGTTGAGGACCCATAAGTGAGGGTGTTCAAAGACAGGCTGGACATGCACATGGTGGGCATGTCATGAGTGGAGCCGGCTGGAGCCAGGGGAGAGACTAGATGGCCTGGGAGGCCCCTTCTGACTCCCTCTGTTTCTATGTTTCTACCTAGTGAGAAAAACTTTGTGGTGCAGGGCTGGGCAGCCTGGAGCTCTTTACAAGTATGTTGTTTCAACAACAACTCCCACAATCCCTAACCTTTGGCCATGCTGGTTTAGGCTCCTGGGAGCTGCAGTCCAAAGCACCTGGAAGGCACCAGTCTACCTACCCTGACGTAGTCAACAGTGCTGGACATGGGCCACCTAGTTTCAGATCCTTGGCTGCTGTTCCATCCCACCATTTAGGCTCCCCGCTACTGTACCTGGGACTGCAGGCATTAAACCTTATTAAGCAGGACTTTGGGATTAGGCTGAGTTTTATGCGAAAAGAAAGAGAGAGAAAAGAAAGGGCAGGGCAGGGCAGGACAGGAAAGCAAGGTGGATTGGCCATCATTTGCAGGTCATAATTTGTGACTGATGGGCTTTGTGGAACACAAATTATACAGGCCTTTTCCATGCACACAAGTGCTAAATAGTAAATTATTTTTTTAATGTGGTTTGTTCATGACAAGTAAACCAATCTCATTATATGCATGGTGATAATTCCTATCAAGGACCAACATTTCCCCCCTTGTTAGTGAATTAATCTTCCTTAACATAAGGTGCGCGCATACAACAGAGATGGGTTTTTAGATGGGTTTTTAATCTCTCGAAGAAGCACTTTGTTTTTAAGATTCTTTCTTATCAGCCTTGTTAACCATGCATCTTTCCTAATTAACTTTTTCTTCTTCTTCTTGGCAAGCTGCAGGATAATCTCCTGCGTCTTATTCCAGGATACAAACGTTAAAAAGAAAAAAGCTTACATTTGTTCTCTAAATGGTTATTTCAGGACACACTTCCCTTAGCTTTGCTGGGAATAGTTACATCAAATACCGGGTTTCTGAAAATAGCAAGAAGGAAGAATTCAAGTTGGCGCTGCGTCTGCGGACTCTGCAAAGCAATGGGATTATAATGTACACCAGAGCAAATCCCTGTATAATTCTGAAGGTAATTAAAATAAGTTTATCTTTTCCCGCAGTTATTTTTCTTGATTACATGCTTCCCTCTCATTGGACTCTCACTATCGGGAATGTTGTTCTCATTTTTAGCTGTGGAGGCAGAAACTCCAGCGTTTTCAGTTTTGAGGGTAATGAGGAAAGAAACTGCTGCTTCAGCAACAGCAATGGAACCATCTCATTGTTCTTGAAGCTCATATTTCTATGGAAATAAGCTCCTGGGGGTATAATATGCTACAAAGCAAGACCAGACTACATAGTCTGTACTTTTTGGCATTACCTAAGGCTGTTCTTATTTAGGAAGGCTGGATAACCTTCCCCGAATAGAGTAGTAAGGCCTTCTCTGACATTACCACACATGGATGGGATGAACACAGCCTGGATTTACAACAGCTAAGCAGGGCTGTCATGGATAGGACATCTTGGAGGACTTTCATTCATAGGGTTACCGAAAGATGAAGATGACTTGATGGCACGTAACAACAATAACATGGGATTCATAACCTAAACCGGTCTGCTTGAACCTTGGTCTGCAAGATTTTACAAAATCTAAAGCTAAGAAGTATTCTCAAATAGTCAGAGACTTACAAACATTAGATCCATACATCTTAACTTTTAATATTCTATCCCCACCCACCAAGTACACAGTATTCTCACTGAATGAGTAGAAAAATAAAAACAGGATATACAAATAGCATTCCAGACAGACAAAGTATGTAGATATGTGGGTATATTTATGATGGATATATACAGAACACAAATTTCTGGCATATATTCCATGAGACCCTTGCATCTGATGGCATTCACACAGTTCTGTCATGTTTTTAATTCATGCCCAAATGGCACTTTTAAAAATAAACTGTCTCCTCTCTTCCTTTTGTCACTAGAAGCCCTTCTGTTGTTTCCTTCCAGAAGTTCATCACTGGGACTTAACTCATGTTTAGACAGAACAAAGGCCTACAAATCCCAGCATGCCCCAGCCAGGTTTTCTGGGGCATGCTGGGAATTGTAGGCCTTTGTTCTGTCTAGACATGCATAGACTTGTGCCCTTTTTGCTGATTCGTGACCCAAGTAGTGAGGAGTAATCCTGTTTAATCCCATTTGCTGCATACAGCTTTTATTCTTATTTCTGATTTATTGCATTTCTAGACGGCCAGTTCCTGAGGCTGCCTGGGCAGTTCACAATAAAGGATCTGGGTTGAAATCTAGGATTTTACCATTAGGACAGGATGAGTAGTATACAAGAATTCTCCTCCCTTGCCTCTCAGCCAGCATTTCAAGAAGAAAGAAGGGGCTGTCTAAAATTCCAAGTGCCCCCATTCACCACATAAGTTCTGAATTCTACCACCCCTTGACAGAGGGACGTCTACCTCCAGTTAAACCGGACGGCATTAGAACAGTGGTGATCAAACATTCTGTCTTCAGACAACTCTTCCCACACTGGACTGTCTGCAGAGAAAGCCCTTACTGACATCTTATCGTGTAACACAAGCACATGGCAGGGGGCTGGAGCCATGTTTTGAGGGATTAGAACGATTGAACTTTGTGCCAGGGACACTGGCTGTACTGCATTTCTGGCTGCAATTCAAAGTGATGATATGGCTACCTTAAGGACCTCTTCCCCTGTCGAATTCTGCCCAAAATTACCATCCGTGGTAGAGGACCTGCTGAGGTACCCAGCAGAAAAATGAGTTAGCTTGGTTAGCATGTGAGACAGGGTCTTCACAGCAGTGGCCCTATAATTGTGGGACCCTCTTCCATGTGACATTCACTTGCTCTCTTCATTTCTGGCATTCAAAATAGCCTTTAAAATGTAACTTTTTACTACTATTTCTGTATGGATTGTGTCATCCAAAATCCTTCTCATGCCTCAGTTTAGCTGGACCAACTGTAAGCTTCCATATGTCTCATTGTTTCCATTTTGGCTGTGCTTTGCTTTTTGAGGGCCTTGGCACCCCAAAGCAACTAATACATAATTAGAATGAATAAATGGAAAAAGAAAGTTAAAGAGTGAGCTAGAACAGGCACCAAAGTTTGTGGAAGAAGGGCAGCACTGGCGAGCAAACCATTTTTCAGGGAAGCTGGACTTCAATTAATCATCTTCCTGTTGAGAAACCCCTCTTCAGGACTCCCGGACCTGCAGGCTGAAAACTCTGGGATCATAGGAAGCTGTTTTATGTTGAGCTCAGACCCTTGGTCCCTCTAGCCTGGCATTGTCCACAACAAGGGCAGTGTTTGGACGAAGACTTCCATGAGCCTCGCCCAGCATGGGCACTGGGCAGGGATTGTGGGAGCTGAAGTTCAGTCCAGACCCTCTACCCTGACCTGCAGTCACAAGCAGTGGCTTTTCAAGTTTCCAGTCAGGGGTCTTGAGGGCACTGGGGATTGCAGTAGACTAGGGTCTTTTGCAAGCAAGGCACAAGTGTTGTGCCTCTGAGCCATGCCCTTTTCTACGTACACCAAGGGTTCTGCCCTTTGTTCTAGCAACATAGGAGGCAAAGTCTTCTGCAGGTAGCACAGGGACTTTTCATTAGTGGCCCCAGGAGCATAAAAGTGCCTCACTCTGAAGTGTGGAAAGCACACTTTCTCAAACAAGTTTTGGGAAATCGGAAGTGCTGGGAATGGTGTCTGGTTTGAGAACCGCTTCCACCATGGTCAGAGAGCCTGGCCTGAAATAAGGCAGTTTCATATGGTAAAATACCTCACGCTTTTGGCAAGCAGAGTTTTAAAAGGTTTTGTGTAAATAAATGCCAGGTTTCAGATCAAATCATAAAGATTATCTCCCACTGGACGTGCAAACCATGCTGATTAGTGAAATCAGGCCTGATTTAACATGTGGCGAGGCAGCAACGACATTGACCATTTTATTTTTAATCTTCCATCTGTTCTGTCCCAACATCTCAGGGCAGATAGTAACATTTGAAATACAAGCTGTTACAGCCATTTCCCCAAATGCAAGATGAAGATGTACCTCTCAATAAAAGTAAGGCCCGACACTTCCTGGCTGCTGAAATAATAATTAAGATTAATAAACCTTGTTGTGTCTCTTCTGGAAGAGAATCAACAGCCGTCTCAAACATTCTGTGAAGCATGTGGTACAGTCCCACCTGGCAGATTGCTAATTTGTAAGCACCGTGGTGTCAAGATTCTCTGCATATGGTTTAGTTCAGTTCAGGTCTATCTGGTTTATCCATGGGCTTCTAGACAAGCAACATGCAATGAAAAGCAAAGCCAAAACAGCAACATCAGCTTTTACAAATTGCAAAACGTTCTCCTAATACCAGTTCAGTTGCACAAGACTTCTGTGAGCATTTACAGACTTCCCCTCAGCTTGATCTGCTTTCGAAACCATGCAAGGATTTTCCTCTTCCTTTCTAGCTTAGCTCTTAACATTTAATAATTACACTGTATGTATATGCTGTCTTTCTTCCACTTGGAAGGAGCCCACAGTTGCTTCAAAACTGTTCCTCCTCTCCAGTCTATCCTCACAACAACCCTGTGAGGTAGGCTAGGCTGAGAGTGAGTGACTGGCCCAAAGTCACCCAGTGGGCTTCATGGCTGAGGAGGGACTAGCACATATTGAAACAGCAGAGTTTCTGTCTGTGAAAGCACATGGAACTGCCCAAATTGCAGAGAAATTGAGGGAATGGATCTGATTTTAACTGTTCAAGGGTTGTCTGTGTTATTGGTACAATTTTCCACCACTTAAGCCCTCCAGATTACCCTTCTAATGCTAATTCTGATCGCGGTTTGCCTTTCTGTTCCCTGTATCCTCATCCTATGCACAGTGCCGTGGAGGAGAATTCACACATCCCTTTGAATTGCAGTGTGTGTGCATGTTCACACGCCCCTTTAATGTACACAAGGTAGTCAACACCGTGAAGGTGCAAAACATTTTTATTGTGGTACAAAAGTTAAGTAAAGAAAAACAAACTGGGACTTCTTTGTTGCCGAAATAAGCGCATGGCCGGGGCCAAGAAGGTATCGAAACAACTCTGGGATAAGCGTCAGTCAGGCTTGGGTTATAAAAAACACGCCAAGCTTTGAACATCCGCTGGAGTACCTTTAATTCCATTATCACAGCTGGAAAGAGTATGGCTCAACCACAGCTCTGCCTTGAGAAGGCCATTCCCCAAAACTCAGTGACCAGACAAAAAGGGCATCAGTCAGAGAAGGTAACGCTGGAGAGAGATGCAGCTGTAATGGGAGAAACGAGATCTGATGCTCCACAAAGCTGGGCTTCATGAAAGAGTGACGAGAAAGCTGGTGCTGAAACAAACCTATATCAGAATCCATTTGGGATCTGCCAAAAGTCATCTGGGAGACACAGCAAACATGGTAGAAGTCTAACGAGACCAAAATTGACCTTTCTGGCCCGGTTGCAAAATGATATGTGTGGTGCAAAGCTAACAGTGCTAAGACCCTCCTCAATTGTGGCAGCATCATGTTGTGAGGATGCGTTTCCTCAACAGTCTGGAAAACTGGTCAGGCCCAAGAGCAAGATGAGTGGAGCCAAAGACTAGAAGAAAACTTGTTTCAGTCTGCAAAGGCTCTAGGGCAGAGGTTTGCCTTCCAGCACCTTAAACAGTACCTTAAACGCTGGACAGGTTTATAAACAAGCTGAATGTCTTAGAATGGCCTAGTCGCAACCCAGACCACATGGCAACTGTGTCAGGAGCTGAAAGTTGCTCTTCTCCAGCAGACCCCACCCAGCCTGACTGAGCTGAAGCCGTTTTGGCAGGAGGAACGTGCAAACATTGCAGGTTCCAAATGTACGTACTGGATAGAGACTTCCCCAAGAAGACTCAACAGCTGTAATTGCTGCCTTAGGTATTGACTCAGGGCGTGACCATGTACTGTTTCTTCTTACTTAGTTAAGTTTTGCTGCACAATAAAAGCAATCTGCAGCTTTACAGTGTTGAGTATCTTGTGCCCATCAAGTGGTAGCAGTGCCAATTAAATCCATTTCACTTCCAGGTCATAATGCAACCCAGTGTAGAAAAGTCAGAGGAGTCAGTGTTCAAAGTCAGTGAATACTTCTGCAAAGTACTGTAAATACACTGCACACCTACGACAGAGTTGTGTGTACTCCTTCTAAGAAAGTCTCAGTACTAAATCCCGAGTCTTCCACTCAGTTCCTTGCTATTGCTTCACATTCCAGGCTCAAGATTTGTGAATAAGGTGGCTGAATGCCTATTCCCTAAGGCTCAAGAGCACCTGTAAGGTCTGAGGATGCCCCTGCACAAGCTGAGGTGGATGTCAGGGTGCTGCCCACCTGCCTTGGGAATTGTATGTCCCTGCATACGCTGCTGGGAGTGCCGTATCCCCTTCCTCCTTTCCGTCTCCCTCATGCAGTGAAAGTCCCACATGCCAGGCTTGGACAGGAATGAGTTAAATATATCACTGGTGCTGTTTCCTTGCCATCAGTGGAAATATATATGTGGGCTTATTCCACAAAATTCAATACAGATGAGCATGAGGCACTCATACGTTATACCAGTGAAAGCTCGCCTGAAACTTCCATTGGCTAAGCAGCAAGAAAGCTTGGATGGGATCCCAGGTGTGGCAGGAGCTGGAGAAAGTAATATTTTAATTAAATCTACCATTTTGCTTGGATGAACCCAGAATGTAATCCCGCCTGCTAAATATCCCCCTAAGGTGGATGGGCAGGCAGGATTTTGTATGCAGGTCCTGCAACTGCAGATGGACTTTTCAAGTCTAGGCAGGTCCCCAAAGGACCATTGGATGGTTTTATTGCCAATGTTGATATGAAGATGTGGATAGGAGCCAGGCACCTTAGCTAGGCTAATATTCTGAAATGATATACGGTGCCCATTCATCTCATTTTGCTTATTTGGTAAAGCAATCAAGGCAAACCAGTTTGTATAACCTTTTGAGATTCCATCATACCCTCTCACATGGCTTTCAGTTAATGATGCTGTTGGTCTTTCTGTTTAATTTTTATTCCGCACTTCACTTTTTAGCAATATTAATACTATTTAACAATAATTGAAATTATAATAACAGCAACTGAATTTCAGGCCCTCCTGAAGTCAACAGCAAGTCATTGCTCTTGAAGTCCTAAGAACTTTGACACAAAATCAAAATGTGTGACAGAGAAAGACAGCAGAAGTGGGCTGTTGCGTGTGGGGAATGCGGTGTGTCACACACACACACACACTGTTACCTGCCCTGGCTGGTTCTCTTCCACAAATGGCTCACAAGTCACAACCAGAGATGCCAGGAAACCTCACTGGACCCAGGCCCAGATAGGAGCTTTGGAGGCTTGCTGCATGCGCTTCAAAGAAGCTGCTCTTGCATCGCCACCCAAGTTCTTCTCTGAATAAGACGTCTGAGATGACGACTCCCCTTCCATCCATCCAGTCATGAAGTCTGAACATGTCAACTTTGCCCATTCAGGAGAAGCCCTGCCTTTTGCTGCTGTTTTTGCTCACTTCTTCAGTGCTGTTGTCACCAACATTTTGTCATGATCCTCCCCCCTCCCCTCCCCTCCCCTCCCCTCCTCCTCCTCCTCCTCCTACATTTATAGCATACCTTTTATGAAGAAATATAAATCCTACATTTTGCACAAGAATCAGAAGTGTTATTTCAGAAATACTGTAGCATGTACTTATTTTTGTAAATGCATCTTCGGCATTTCACTTAAGTAGACTGAAAAACTTATTCTATCTGTAGTGATGTGTATATAATCCAGCTTGCAGGAAGACTTTCTGGAAGTTGCATGCATATAATATACAGGAAAGGAGAGTGGTTAGGAAAAAATCTGTCTAGATGAATTGTTCCTACTATATTTCACAATTTACTGCTCTCTATTAGGTTTTGCATTTAAACTAGTGATGTGCGGAACCCTCTTCAGGAAACTTTCTGTTCTCTACATGAGGCGGTGTGTGCAGTTTCTTCAAAGGAGGGGAATAGAGTTGGTGTCGAGGACAAGCATGGCTGGGCATCTGCCCCAGGAAGGGCTCACTGACAAGATCTGCCTGGACTTGCTCCTCTTCACCTGCTTCTTTATCTGCCTCTCACTCTGGCCTAGACACCAGAGGTGATGAGAAGGCAGAGTGTGCCTCAGTCTACTTGCCCACTGGTTTTCTGCTTATCATGCAAGCATGTGGTAGTTGTGATAAGCTGGCGAATGAGAGGATGAGGAGCAAAGCAGCTGGGACTATGATGGTGAGAAGATAGACTCAGTAAGAAGACCTACCCACTGAGGGTATCTTGCCCAGAGCTGGGCCCAGAGCTAGAGGGGAGTGTGGCTTGCTCTGTTCTTGGCCCAAGGGATGGTCTGAAGGTACATAAGGCATCCACCATGTTGAAGCTAAGCAGGTCTGGGACTGGCCTGATCTTGGAGGGTAGACCACCAGTCACACTGAGTTCCGCAATTCCTGCAGAGGTAACTGCAGAGGTTCAGTGGAGGAATTCTGCCAAGAAGGCAGGAAATCCATAGTTTTGGAGTTAGAAAGAGGTTAGTTCCAGGGAATCTTTTTGCATATCCAGGATGAGAGAGAGAGAGCACAAAAGCAGCTAAGGGGAGCACTGGAAGATTCACAGCAAGAACAAGGGGGAAAGCTGGAAAGCGGCACAGAGAAAGATACCAAGGTTTGTGATGGGAATGTGTGAGGAGTCAAGCGGGGCAGGCTGGAGCAGAATTAAGATAGTTTCAGGATTGCCCCTTGGATACTGACTTCTTAGCTCTGCAGTGGTGCTGGCCCACTGCAGTGCCAGCTGAGCCAGCTCACAGACTTCCATTTCTAAGGCAAACTGCATTTTGCAGTTTTTTAACCACTGATAACATTTGTGCCAGTGAGCACCTGAAAACCACGTGAATCTGTGCAAAATCAGCTGCTTTATGCAAATGGCACTAGAAGCATATGGTTTTCAGGTTCTTATGTGTGTAAATTTAATTACTGCTTAAAACAGTATGCACAAACCATGGGCCATCCTAGAGATGGAATCCCATGGAAAACAGAACAAAAACCCTTTGCCCAGCCCATGTCTGATGATCAGATCAGAAGTGGGCGGGAAACCTGTCCAGCTCAAGAAACTGGATTCCCTGTTTCATACATCCTAGTCTAAGAGCAGTGCCTGCTCTGTTATACTGGGGCAAAGAAGCAACAAGACAGCAGAGACAGGGAGAAAGAGGCAAGGGGCTGTGAAGGCTTCTTAGACTGGGGAAAGGTGCAGTTCATGTTATGCAGTCGTTAGCTGGAAATCATTTATCAGAGCTAGGAGCTCTTTGTTGCTAGATAGTCCTGCATTAAAAGGCACATGTGAACAACCCCCAAATGGCCCAGTGCACAGAGCTAATGATGCACAATCCCTTCACTATTATTGAATCAGCTAAATGCAGCTGCAGACCCATTGCAACTACTAACAGCAGCGCTTATCCCAACATTGGGAATTTTTTATCAGCCTTCTACTAACAAGGTCAGGAGAAAGGGAAGGGCTTCACCTCCCCACTGTTTTGCTTTCCATTCACAGATCGTGGATGGCAAACTGTGGTTCCAGCTGGACTGTGGAACTGGTCCGGGCATCCTGGGCATTTCTGGCAGGGCTGTCAACGACGGAGGCTGGCACTCAGTCTTCCTTGAGTTAAACCGGAACTTCACCAGCCTGTCCCTTGACGACAGCTACGTGGAGCGGCGCAAGGCCCCCCTCTACTTCCAGACGCTGAGCACCGACAGCTCCGTGTACTTTGGAGCCCAGGTGCAGGTCGATAACGTCCGAAGCCTGACAGACAAGAGGACGACACAGGTGCTGAGTGGCTTTCAGGGGTGCTTGGATTCCGTCATCCTGAACAACAATGAGCTGCCCCTGCAGAACAAGCGCAGCAGCTTTGCAGAAGTGGTTGGCCTGACCGAGCTGAAGCTTGGCTGTGTGCTGTATCCCGATGCTTGCGAGAGGAACCCTTGTCAGAACGGAGGGACTTGTGCCAGCGTGCCATCTGGTGGTGAATACCTTGCATTCATCTTTCCATTTTTGGCAGGGGGAGGGGGGCAGTTGGGCAGTGCCTTCCATTGCTCACTTTGTAGTCAGTTCAGTCTACTTACTTACTTATTTGTTATTTCTGAGCCCCAGAAATAGGCGGGAACCCCCCTTGTGCCCTTCTGCATCATTTTAACCTTCAGAACCGCCCACTTAATAATCTTCTCATATTCATCTTCAGTAAGGAACACTGGCTTGTTGTGGTTAGTACTCTGCACCGGTTTCCCAAAAGTCTTCCTCTCCCACAAAAGAGGTTTCCATTTTTCTGTCTCATTCACAAAACATGTTACAATTGGTGGTGCTTTTGAGCTTCTCACTGCAAGGCGGCTGAGAGTTTCATGTGTATTTGTGGTCCCTCTCTGTTACACATTCTCCATTGCTGCCCAGCTTTGCTGGCTGCCTGGGCATCCTGATGGGGAAAAGCCCCACATTAATATCACTCCATGATGCATCTTTCTGGGCTTCCAAGAAATACTATAAATGGGGAAGGCTGTCAGATTCATTATTGTGCAATCAGACACAGGACGCACACACCCTGCAGCCGCTTCACAATTCAGGTGAGTGCAAGAACCTCAAATGCCATCCATGGGACTCTCACCAGCATTTCCTTTGAATTTGGTACTTCTTCATGCAACTGAATGGGAATGATTGGGGGGAAATGCAGAAGAAATGTTTGGCACAGAACTAGTTGTGTTGCTTCTGCCTCTGATTGGCTGCATTACAAGGTCAGTTCTTAAGTCCGAGAGCCAGAATGGAAGCATGTTTTGCAGCAAGGAAGGATGGGTCCCTGCTGAGCTTCTGAGAACTGCTAGCTCATGTGGGAGCTGCTCGTGAGGCTATTCCAGTCACAGAAATCACATGCTCATATGATCTGTGCCTTGGTTCTCAGAAATGGCCACACGGGTGAAGTTCGGTCTGAATGGGAACTGGTCCACAGAATCCTGACACCAGTTGGACACAGTAGCTTTTCTTGCCCCCTTCCCAAACATAACCAATCTTGTATATTAAAAAATGGCTTTCTCTGGGAACAGTTCTTGACCTTCTGGCTTTAAGCTGGTGTGCAAGCCAAGTGTGCAGTCAGGACATTCCTGATTCGATGCTTCCTCTGAGTAGCCGCAGCAGTTCAAGCAAGCAGTAGTGTCTTGCACTGTCAGTCGCACAGCTGTGATGTAAAGCAAACATTGCTAGGATACACAAGCTGGGTCTGCATCGGAACCTGGCTATGGAAGTGGGACCTGCACCTTCTTGTTTCCACATAGTCTAATCTCTAACAGGAGTTGTCCTGTTCAGTCTACCAAACAGACCTTTTGCAATATATGAAGAGCTGTAAGAAGTCCAAAACATTCTCTCAGCAGTTTTCCGTTTTCCTACTCTGACAGTCCACTTTCAATAGTTCTTGCGTATGTCCACTCCTCACTTTGATGGGGAATTTTCACCTTAGTTTCAGGTGTGTGCGTGTGTGTTTGTGCTTGTGCACATGCCCACATGCTCAAGTTCTTCTACAGACTGCAAACCTCAAAGCTCCTTACTGGCCTCTCTCCCCGGTTTTTTCAATGGCCCTATTTTGGTTCCAGTCTTGCTGGTACTCATCTTCTGAGGTTGTTGTTGTAAGCCAGGGAGTTCTTGTGCAGATATTGCAATAGCAGTGCTTGCTAGGTGCAGGGTATCTAAGAGGTGTATTTGCTGTAATGCTCTCAGTCATGGCTCGAGAGAGAGCGCCTGTGCCTTGAACCAGCAGGTACTGCACTTGAATGTTTCTTGGCCCACATTTGAACCACAGCATGGCTTCTCCGAACCAGTGTTGGCCTGTCCTGGAGAAGCCCGTGTGTGCGGCAGCGTACACGGGATGCTTCTCAAGAGAGATAACCACAGAGTTTTGAGGGAAAGCATGCTGTGGAGGATCAGAAAGGATCCTGCACTGATCATGTTGACACACATATTTGGATGGCTCACATCCAGAAAGAGCCAAAAAAGTGTGTGGACAAGCAGGGATCACTTCATACGCTGATAATAACACCACAGTTATTGTGAAGAAGGAAGGAAAAATGAGTATCCACTGTCGGAAATACTTAAAAAGGTTTAATTGGGGTTTTGTTGGATTCCTTAGATGTTTGTGCTATTGTATTTTATTGGCAATTCAGGCTTGAGTGTATCCAAGAACAGGCTTTTGAACCTGATGGTGAAACTTGCCCCAGTCTTGACAAAAATTCCTTTGACGCTGCATCCTTTTTTGTTTTTAAGGATGTTTTTGCACGCACCTGACCTGCTTGCAGATGTGCCCATAAGCTGAAAGTATATTCCTAGCTGGATGCTTCTGGTTCCTTGACAAACCAACTGCACAGATAATCAAGCCAAACCAAAACGTTTCATGTACGCTTGCTTCCAGCTAGACCATTTAGTTGGAAGCATTGCAGCCGGCTTCTGCAACTGTGTGAACATACCCTTCTCAGCCATCCTGATCCTTCCCAATTTCCTCCTTGTATTTCTGCCCTATTTTGTCCATAGAATCCCTTTGTGGATTGAATATTAACACTGACTACTTTCCAGGTTGCTTTGGGTTTTTATGGGAAGTGTACTCAAGGGCATGTCAACAGAAATGGAAGTAGTACCCAGAGAACAGACCACAAAAGCACATTAAACAAAGCAAGGCAGCAGGTTTAAAATTGGATATATGGAACCAGAATACATATAGTGCTTCCTTCTGTCCTTCAAAAGTTCTTCATCTGCTGTGGGATGCCTCAGGGCGTCATCTTCTCTCCAGTGTTATTTTTATATATGTAAATGAAGCCATTGGGAGTGTTTATTAGGAGATTGGGGGCCAGTCACTAATATGCAGAGGGTGCCAAGCGATTCCTCTGAAGTTGAACACTTTCTGAACTGGTTCCTGCGCAGAGTTATAGCTTGGATGAGGGTGAATAAGCTGAAGTTGAATCCTGATATGACTCTATGGATGTGGGGATTGGGATGGTTGGGTCTTCCGGGTGTGGTTGCACTTCCTCTGAAGGAACAGGCATGTCACGTGGGACCCATGCTTGCCCCCAGAGGTCCAGGTGATCTTGACTGTGCACTACCAGCTTTGGTTGGTGTGCCACCTATGCCCATACCTGAATAGGTGTGACCCTTTCACTGCTAACCTTAATCAGACTACTGTCGTGTACTCTGTGTAGGACTGTCCTTGGTCCTGGTTCAGAAGCTTCAGCTAGTGCAGAATGCCACTGTTTGGGTGCTCAGTGAGATATCCAGCTAGGTCAGCATGATACCTGTACTAAAAGAACTTCATGACTTCCCATTAGCCACCAAAGCATGTTCAAGGTTATTTGATTGTCATATAGAGCCCAAACCAACTTGGTCACAGGGTACCTAGCGTACCACCTTTCCATACATACAACCAACTGTTAAGATAGTTGGAGGAAGCCTTGCTGGTCATTCCAAAAGTGTTGTGCTGCTGGTGGTGGTGTCGTGCACCATCAATGCCAATTTATGGCAACTCTCTGAATGAAAGTCCTCCAAACTGTCCTACCCGTGATAGCCCTGCTCAGCTCTTCTAAGTTCAAGGCTGTAGCTTCCTTTATGGAGTCCATCCATCTCATATTTGGCCTTCCTTCCTTTCCTCTGCCTTAGACCTTCCCTAGCATGATTGTCTTCTCCAGGGAATTTTGCCTTTTTGAGATGTACCCAAAGAATGTCAGCCTCCATTTTGTCGTTTTTGCTTCTAGGGAAACTCTGGCTTGATTTGATCCAGGACCCACTGGCTTGTCTTTCTGTTGGTCCAAAGTATTTGCAACGCTCTCCTTCAGCACCATGGTTCAAATGCATCCATTTTCTTCCTGTCCACTTTCTTCACTGTCCTTCTTCACATCCATCGTAGGAATTGAGAATATAATAGTGCAGATGATCTTGGCCATAGTATCAAGTGAAACATCCTTAACACTTGATGTTCTTTTAGAATATTGCTGTGTAATAACTCAATGACAGGGTTTCTCAGTGGTGGCCCCATCCTGTGATGGGGGGGGATCCCTTCTGTAGTTCAGGAGGTAGAAATTTGGGTACCATCCTTTGTGATGGCATGCAAACATAGAAACAGAGCGAGTCAGAAGGGGCCTCCTGGGCCATCTAGTCTGGCCCTTTGCTCCAGCCGGCTCCGCTCAGGACATGCCCACCATGTGGATGTCCAGCCTATCCTTGAACACCCTCATCGATGGGGCCTCAACCACCTCTCGTGGAAGCCCATTCCACACCCTCGAGGTCCTAACTGTCAGGAAGTGCTTCCTGGCATCTAAATGGAGCCTTGGTTCCAAACTTTCAACCTCAGAAAATTACAGGCATCTGTTCTTTGCCTCTGGGCTTCCCTCACCCTCAAAAGCATTTTAGCCATCTAATGCTTCCCTCTCCTCCAAAGGAGGAAGACTGGAGGACTGCTTGGAAGAAGTTGGCAGTGCCTGGCCCTATTCCACCCCACCACTGCCTGCCCCCTAGTACCTCCCCCCAGTACCTGTTAGCATGATGGCCTTTGGCCCCCAGCAGTTGCAGAAGGAACCCCACTGGCTTAGAGGGCAGACAAGAGCCCTCCAAAGACGGACTCCCAACCCAGAAGGCTTTGCCAGAGTCACAGCAGGTACCCTGCCTCTTCCTTAAGGCAGCCACACAGCATCTCCTGGTGTAGGATTGTGCCCTTAATCAATAAGTACAATGACAAATGGCAGGTTAAGAAAAGATGAGCACATGGGACCCTGCAAGGAGAGCAGGGCAATCATTCAAAAGATATAGAAGCTTTTGAGAAAATTGCTAAACAAGTTTATTTATGTCTCTGGGGAGTAAGGATAAAACAAATGCCTAACTTTACTTGGACAGCATATTATAAATTAGGTCAAGCTTTCACCGCATGAGTAGACTAAGTAAAAGGTGGAAGCAGCTCCTCTTTCTATTGATTTCACTGGAGTCTATTTACACGATCACTCTGCAAAT